TCTCTCTCTCTCTCTCTCTCTCTCTCTCTCTCTCTCTCTTCAGGTAGATTCTGTGCATGATGTGTGAATGATGCATAAGAACGAAAAAATGATGAACATACACCATGTACCATGTGTGTTTGAATAGCAAGCGGCGACGCCACACCACCACCACCACCAATACAGCAACGAATTCGTATGTTGTGCCTGTGTGCACGGTGTTGATGTTGTTATTTTTATGGATTTCCGTGCGACAATCGTAATTTTGTCTATTCCGGCCAATATACACATGAATTTCATTTTGTTTAAATTCTGAACGCAGAGGAATGTAAAAATAATACATGAATGTATAGGCTAGAACACAAACTAAAACAAAAAAAGGGCAATACCAACCCATGTATATGTTATGAATGCTTCATGTATTTTGCTCAACGTGCACCAATAATCAACGAAGTTCATTTTTTTTTCTCTCTCAACGGCGTACAGTGACTTCTAGTTTTACCATTGTTTTCAGCCAACTATGATTAGTCTTTTATTAAAATTTTCAATGTGCTAACGCTTGTTTGCTAGTTGCCGCTCAGAAAAGTGTTACATTTTTCATTTTTATGAATTTTGTTGGATTCTCACTAAAAATTCCAAACGTTCTATCCGTCAATAATCAACTTGTGTTATACAATTCTTTTTTTTTTTTTTTCATCTGTGAAGGTTATGCAATTGAGATTTAGATTTGAAATGATGTTATTATCACTCAACATACTATCGAATCATTTTATTTCATAGTGTATCGTGAAAATAGCAAAGTGTATCATATGATTCAAAAGTGCACATTATATTACGACGAGAAAAAAATATCATTTTTATCAACATCATTGATAATAACTGACTGATCAATGTTCAAATTGCAAAATATATCTGTTATAAATCAAGTAATTGATGAAGGAAGTTTCCGTTGCAACTACGATAATACAATCGATTTGTAAGAAGTTGGATAAGTTTCATGTTGCTACAGTTTAAGGGTCGACAGCATTCATTTTGCTTTGTTGTCCATCTAAAATTGTGAGTAAATAAGATTTGTTTTTTTTTATTCATACCTCGAGAGTTTTAATCAGTTTGATTGACGCTAATTTTTAGTGATTCCATGAAGTGATATTGATTTGTAACTGTTTTTTTGTGGAATATGCCTTATTTTCAAGTAGTAAGCTATCAAAGGTGAAATCAAACAAAATGTGTGTCATTCGATGTGTAGAGAAAACATGCAAAAAAACCAGAGCAATTGAGAATATATATGCATATATATTTCAAATCAATTGCATAAACAAGCAAAATATTTATCTTGCTAATAGAAAATAGGTGCTTCGAAAGAATTCGTTACTTGTGTCTATCAAATTTCATACGATAAATTCATTCACAACAAATAATGCAGTATTTGCGCGTATAAATTGAGTGTTTTTCAGCACTTCCATGCCACTCTCGCCTCCATGGACAGATACCAAAATATAATAAAAACAAAATCAAGAAGCGCAACGAATAACATTCAACACGATCGTTTAATATTCAAATGAATTTACGAATTTCTGAGGTAGCACCTCAATCCTCGCAACATCAACAACGTATGTGTGTATGTGCTTTGTTTTGTTTTCGGTTTGTTACCGTTGTTGCTTTTGAATTTTGTTTATGGCCATCATTGTGTTCACATTTTGGAAACTTATATTTGAAGTAAAACGATGACGCCGCTAATATAGTTCATGTGTAGAATGTAATGCATATTGTGACCAAACAGGTGCTGAACGAAAGACCCTACACATTTCACGCTTGGCTGCGGCAAGAATTTAATGTTTTTCACCATTCTTTGTCTATGTCAGATATTTTTTTTAAAAAACACACACACCAAATAAATATTTTGAGCAAATACGAAATACGAAACATTTCGACTAAAAAAGGAAATTCATATTAGAATCATGCCAATTTATATGCAAAGTTGGTTGCGACATTTGTTGCCTATTATGTGTTGGAAATTTTCGCAGAGTTTGAAGTAATGACCAAAGTTCATCTTCGTTGTCAATTAAAACACCACAAAAGTCTCGATATAATTGAGAAAGAATTAGCAAAAAAAAAAAAAATTATTTGAATTAAAATATGTAGTTGTAGCTATTCTGAATAGTTAACGAAGATTATGTCATACTTACGTTTTTCGTCTATTTATGGATATTGTCAAGTGACCGAAAGTATTATTGCTGATGCGAAAAAAATAAATTTTTGGAACATTTCAATCATTTGAAGTTAAAAAAAAATTGCACATCATTAATACCTTTCAACAGCCATAACTTAAGACAGGTTCAATAAACGTCATATTACTTTCACTTTCCGCTACCATTTCAATTTATATTCAAGAGTGAAGAGTAAAATTACGCAACCATTTACCATATCACCACCAAAACTCAAGTTAATAACAACGCGAAGAAAGAAAAATTCTTTGTAGATTTTTTTTTGAATGTTGATTGCCAAATCGATGACATCAAACCTGAAATACAAGTTATATATACGTTTTGTTAATTGTGTATACTTTGCAGAGAGAGAAAAGAAAGAAAAGTCGCTTACGAGACATACCTATATATGATCAAATCCAATCAATTAATTATGTATGCGATAAATCGGAACCAGAATTTTGATAGCTTTTGTTCACGTTTTTTTGCATGTGTAACTGTGTATTTATTATAACGGATGGTGTTTTAGGCTGGTTGACCATTCTCACGTTTGAATTCGGTCGATTTCTCTTTTGGTTCATTCATCAAGTTTAAATCAATTAACATGTTCACCATTTCGGTAGTGATCGGAGAGGCATTGTATGTAAAATGTATATCAAATCGATGCTGTATTCGCAGGTGTGCGTTTTTTTATTCATACATTCAGCAATGTCAATGAAATTATTAGACATTTTATTCGCTTGGGAACAAATCGTTAAATATTTTCCAATGGGATTTTATCAACGATTTCTGTACGTGCTCAGTCTTTTTCTTACTCTTGTATGCAATATGGACACATGATACACACACAAAAAAAAATAAGAAATTGAAAAATTCACTTTCTGCATATATTTTATAATTCGACACCTTTTTGAAAAAACACCATAAATAGATTATGCAAATGATATTTACATACCGAATTTGTCAATTTTTCAATAAAATATCCAAAATTGTGAAAAAAAATCATCCTTGAAACTTTTCATTGACTTTTGAATCAATGCTTAAAATTTGCTGCCATTTAAACAAAACAACACCATGCTTGTCTGCAACAAAATAGACAAAAAAAAACATTGACATGAGCTTAGCTGAATTGCTTCAAAAAACAAAAACAAAAATATCAATTGAGCTGATAGGGGTAAATTTCTCTTGTATTTATTATTTGTAATCGGACATTTGACATCTCAAAAGAGTGATACATAATTAAATGACAACGAAACCGAAGCTCAAGGCGAGACTTAAATGGTTTTTTAATGCACGTGGTTTTCAAACAAAAAAAAGTGAATTGCGTCTTGAGTCTTGAAACGTCACTCTTATCTAATTGTTAATTTGTAATTGCAGCATGGGTAAACGAATGGTCCTTTATTCAATGACGGTAAATTCTCAAGCTGATTTAATGTTGAATGAAAAAAAAACTG